GAGCGCTCATTCAACATGTTCATTTCCCCCACGTGCCTGTAGAAATTCAAGACTTCACAAGGGTAGCTCAACAGATGTTGGATGAACCACACAAGGAGCTTCTGAGACACACATCTCCTATATTAGTTCACCAATGATCCTTGACCCAAGGACAATCTGCTCAGGAATGACCCCTGAATACAGAAGTGCACCCTGAGGCTGATGTTCCCAATGGTCTTTGCCCGGCTTGTCGTTCTGGAAAACCAAGAGCAGGCATTTGTGGAGGAGAGGTCATGGTAGTGAATCCAGTCGAATTTGGTGCAACATCTGCGGCACGCAACAGACCCCCCAGGAACAAGACCAGACCCTTGAGTGGATGTTATGCCCACACCCAGGGAGAAAAACAGTGATCAGGACATTTGCATAAGGATGAAAAAGGGTGGATTTGATTACATCAGGTGTTCTGCTTTGAGTAAGTCATTCTTTTACTCTGAACTTCCTGACCCTTTATCCAACTCTGTCCCCTTCCACTCAAATTCCACCACTGTCCTGAGTGACTTGAACTTCTCCGTGGACATGAGCTCTCACTCAGGCCTTTCAACAACTCATTCTCAACGGCAAGGCTGTTCCTTTCCTCTCTCGGTTTTGTCATTTCTCAGGACTGCTCCACCACCTCAGTCTCAAAGTCGGAATCTGCAGCCAGAGCTTTGTCGTCTAACTCTTTTGCCATGAATTACTACATCCAGCTCCTACGTGCCCTTTCTCTGTTCTTTCTCCTTTCTCCTAGATTACCTCTTCCTTGTCCAGCTCAGGCACCATGGCCAGTCACATTAGCCCTACTGTGACCACCACTCTTAATTTCTTTGCTCCATACTCCTCCTCACCCACCATTGATATCACCAACCACATTACTGCTTTTACTCCAGGGCTCCCACAGACTATGTAGGAAGCTCTTTGTGCCAAGGTGACCTGACCCACCACAGGTCTCTGCCCTTTCTGACAGCTCCTTTCTATCAGCATTTAAAACAACAAGGGAAGATAGCCTGCATTCACTTCTGGGTCTTTCCCTCTTACTTTACACTTCTCACAGCCAAGTATCTGCAAAGAGCAGTCTCCCCAAGCTGCTCCCACTGCCTCAAGCTCTGACCCACCAATGGTGGTGCATCAAAGACCTGCACAGTCCAGCATGATAGCCACTGGCCACACACAGCTACGTAAATGAAAATCATCAAAAATAAGGAGAAACCAGTTTACAGAAACCACATTTCAAGTGCTCCACAGCCCCATGTGGCATAGACATGGAGCACTACCACCACTGCAGGAAGGTCTATTGGATGGTGTTGGTCTATGCCATTCCCAAAAACTTGCTCCTCATTCTGGTCCTCCTGCTTTAAGAAATAGTATCTCCCATGTACCACATGATCCAAACCTTTTGTAAGGCGCTGTCACTGTGGATTCCTCCTCCTCAGATGCTCCAGTCTGTACACTTCCATCCAGGGACTAAGCCTTGACACTTTCTCCTCTATTCAAATCTCGCCATCTTGGTAGCCAGCATCCTCAGCATGGTTCTCCATCAGTTCCTGTTATACCAGTGGCTTAATATTCAGTTCCCACATTCTCTATGTGGCAGACAGTGGGCCTTTCTAAAAATGCACAATGGATCTTATCCCCATGTTAAAGTCTATCAAAGACTTCATTTGACTTGGGGATAAAGGTCAACCTTGTCAACAGCACAGCAACTCTTTCTGATCGTGTCCTTGACAGCCATCCCCTCCAGCCACAAGGGCTTCCTGCAGCCCCCAAACATGCTTCAGCTTTTGTTCACTTCCAGGGTTTTCCTCCTTTAAGTCCCTCTGTCTAAAGCACTCTCTCCTTTTTGCTAGCAAGGTAACTCTTCTGCATTCTTCAAGCTTCAGGTTAATATCACATCCTTTCACCCACACTCCTGTTCCCAACCTCAGGCCAGGCGGCTCTCCCACACATCCACCCTACACCTCCACTGACTGCATCTCCAGTCTTATCACACTGAACTGTGATGTCCTCACCATCACCCATTACCCAAGTGGGGCCAAGCACAAAGCTTGACAATGTCTTGAAATCTGATTTCTCGGTTGGCCCTTCATTAACTGTAATGGTGGTTAATCTTATTGGGTGCCGCAGGAAATGGAATCGAGCCCAGTGCAAAGACTTCTCTGATAAGCCACTTCTAATTAAAAGATGAAACTGTGGCATATCCTTCTAGAGCCGTTTTCTAAACTCTGATGTGTGACCCAGTTGGACAATACAATCAATATAGTTGGTCATGACCCACTATTTTAAAAGAATGAAATAGAATAGAAAATATCAGAGCACATCACACATTTTAAGGGTGAATATTTTTCATGAAATCTTTGCTTCAGTTGTATATATGCATATGTATGCACTGGGCCACAATATGAAGTTTATCTCTTGCTGTAGATTATAATCACAGAAGTTGAAAAATACTCATTTACATAATGTTTGAGCTTTAGAGCAACATACAGTGATCTTAATGGTGTCACATTACACATGCTCTATAATTTTTCATTAACTTTTCAAAAACAACTTGCAAATTTTTATTATATTTTGTGTTATCAAAATTATTCTGAAGGTTATTTTTTACTCACTATATTGAATCCTCAGCATGTGTTTAGAGGTACAGAGACATCTGTAGTAACCCCATAAGTGGAGGGCTTTTTGATTCTCTGCTGAGCTCCTAAAGGAATTCCCTAAGAGGAATGCTGGGCTCACTTACCTGGGTATGGGCCATGGAGCTCTGAATACATTAGATGCTCAATAAATGTCAGTTTGTTGAGTGAATATGTATGTAGAATAAAAGTAGTGAAAGTGAAAGTCACTCAGTCGTATCTGACTCTTTGCGACCCCATGGACTATACAGTCCATGGAATTCTCCAGGCCAGAATCCCGGAGTGGATAGCCGTTTCCTTCTCTGGGGATCTTCCCAACCCAGGGATCAAATCCAGGTTTCCCCACTGCAGGTGGATTCTTTACCAGCTGAGCCACCAGGGAAGCCTGCATGTGGAATGGTTTCACCATTTTCAGAAATAAGGGTCTCTAACCTGCTACCTGCTATTACACATTCATCTGTCCATCCACCAAACCGGGGTGGAATGGGGGGCATCGCCACACATGCATTTTCTATCCTCCCAATGATGAGAGGAAAAAACCCACCATAATCAGTACCCTGTGTAGTCAGCTCTAAAAGCCAATACGAGTTCTAGGAAGGCCTAAAATGTTTTAGTCTGAATTACAGTTGAACTTGTTTGCACTGGGTATTATCATACCTAGAGCATTTCTATTTTCCATGAACCAGAAATAAGACAAAGACGTTGTTTAAGATTCTCCATTTATACCAACGATGTGGACTGACAGTGATGAAGAAGATTCCCAGGTCTTGTCATGGACATGGCAAAAGAGATCACAACCTTGATTGGAAGTTACTTGCTACAGGCAGAGATAGGGCAGATGTCAAGTATTTTCCATTCCCCAGGGAGGACCTTATCTTATTAATGGATTTAAGGGTGAATATTTTTCTTTCACATAGCAATTATATAGAATGTAATCTCATTATGAAAGTAATAAACATATATTTTATCAAATTTTAAAAATGAATTTAGAAAATATCCTTTATAGCCTCAATATTCAATTTTAATAGCTGATACCATTTTCTTATCTAGCTTTCCTGTATTTTCCCCTATATATATCCCTGATAGCTCAGTTGGTAAAGAATCTGCCTATGATTCAGGAGACCTGGGTTTGATCCCTGGGTTGGGAAGATCCCCTGGAGAAGGTAAAGGCTACCCAATCCAGTATTCTGGCCTGGAGAATTCCACGGACTGTATAGTCCATGGGATCGCAAACAGCTGGACACGAGTGAGCAACTTTCACTTTCATATATACTTTAAAAACATTTGCATATACAATATAGACCTCCTTTTCCCCCTCCACTTATCATGTACCCTTTCAAGGTTTATCAATATTTTTCTTTCCAGTTTAAAGGGGTACATAAATTGTACTGAAATTAGAACCCATAATGGATTTAACTAATTCCCTGATGATGGATGTTTGAATTGTTGCCAATTTTTACTTTTATGAATATTTTTATACACATTTCTATATTTAGTCTTTGTGCTCATTCAGGTTATATACTATTTGGGATGAGAAATTTTTACTCTGAAGGTATAGGCCATGGTTATCTTCCTTTCCATTTTTATCACTTAATGTCCATTAAGGAAGACCACAGCTTTATTATTCAAAAAGAAGAAACGTCATCCTATCTTGATCTTGGCCTTGACAAAGGGAGTTCATAAAGCAGCAGTGTTGTCCACAGCGAGAAGGTTTATCTGATTGGCTTTTCCAGCTTCTCCTCAGCTGGTCCCAGCACTCCGGGAGAACCATGGGCTATTCCCATCTTAGAAAATGTCAGGTTAGACATAGTTCCTTCTGTCCATACCAAACCATGGAATATAGGCTCTATAGCATGAAGGTCATATTTGCCCTATCCTAGAAACCCAAGGTAAATAAACTAAATCAGTTTGGAAAAATTTAAAGGATGCAAAGTTTCCATTTGGGAAGAATTATGAAAATACCTCTCTCCCCCAGCAGGCAGCCCCATAAATGAAGCATTTCACAAGCTGCTCATGGGTTGCTTAATGGGGGTGCCAAATAACATCATCACATTCTTTTTGGTTCCTCGCTTTTCCTCCTTGTGCCAATGAAAATTCAGGGTGGCCTGAAGGCACAGTTAATATCAACAAAAACCCTGTGATATCCAGGGAGTGTGCAAGTTTAGGTCTAAATCCTGAACAACATTTAACAGACTTTTCTCTTGTTCACCAAAATTAAACTTCATAAGAAAAAAGACAACTCAAGGGATGATTCCAGTGATATGTACTCACCTGTTCATGATTCCACTGATATATGTACTCACCTGGTTATAAGCATCTGATTCACTATTAAGGGAATAAAGAAAGAATACGTACCCAACAAACGGAGGAGGAGAAAAAGAACTCCGAGGGCGTAGGATTTGAGTTCAGGGCTGACTGTCCTACATGCAAAGAGACGAGGAGGAAAAAAGAAAAGATTCTTATCACTTCACTTTAATTAACAGAGCCCAGAGTCGTCTGCTGCTGTCCATCAGAGCCCTTCCTTAGAAAATTATTAATGGTTTTGTTCTTTTGCTTTTTTCACCTTCCCTGCCGAAAGTCTGAAAAATCACTGTAACTGCAGGGACAAGATAAGTTTAGGAATTTAGCAGTGTTTTTTATTAACTAAAACTAGTCATTTGAAGGATGGAATGCAAATTTGTTCCCAAAGTCTTCATTTAAAGGCATTTTGCACTTGCTGGCACAGGGAAACATCTTAAGTCGGTGGGTACATGTATCAGAGGAAATATCAGTGGGGAAGGCAGTTCCCCTTATGCTACACAGATAGGCCAGAACCATAAACACATTTGTCATTCTGGCATCACTTTGTGAAATCAACCAGACTAGCATGGGTTGGTTCCCTAGATGGACCACTTGTGAAACAGTCCCTTCATCTATATCCAGCTTTGGTACCTTTTAAACTGGAAAGGTACCTTTACTGGGCCTTCCCAGGTGGCTCAATGGGAAAAAATCTGCCTGTAGGAGATGTGGGTTCGATCTCTGGGTCAGGAAGACCCCCCCAGGAGGAGGAAATGGCAACCTGTCCCAGTATTCCTGCCTGGAGAATCCCATGGACCGAGGAACCTGGTGGGCCACAGTCCACGGGGTCACAAAGAGTTGGACACGACTGAGCGACTAACACCCACACAGCTTTATACAGTCACATGCCTTTGTTTTGAACTGACTCAGTGTCCCTGGCTTTGGTTTACCCACAGCAGCCCCTGAGCACGAGCTTTTCACACATTTTCTAGAATGTTCTCACATAGTCTGGTTTAAGAGTAACAGCAGAGGGGGTTTGGGAATGGTGACTGATTCCAGGCAGGGAGGCCGTCCCAGCTCGTCGCAGACCTCCTCTGTTAGGCCTCCTGCTCTTGAAACCAGTACTGATTCAATGCTGGCCTTCTCTCCTTGAGGCCAAGGACTGTGTGTGTCTCATTCATCATCAGTGTGGTGTGTGACACACAGCATATGCTGAGTCAAAAAACAGAAACAAACCAGAAATCAAGAGGCCGGGGACCTTCCTAGTGGTTTGGTGGTGAGAACCTTCCAATGCAGAAGTCGCAGGATCGACCCCTGGTCGGGGAACTAAGATCCCACAGGCCATGGAGCGACCGAGCCTCTGCACTCTGGAGCCCGAGCACCACAACTAGAGAGTCTGTATGCCACAACAAAAGGTCCCTCATGACATCACTAAGACGTGATGCAGCTGAATACATGTTGAAAACAAAGAGCCCAGTGCTGGCCCCTGCGTGACTTGTTAAATAGCCGGTATCCTCACACCTGTGCATGTCCTGAGCGCTGCTGTTGGCAAGTACGCTTCTGTCTGGAGTAAGAGTGGAAGTGGGCCCACTGCCCTGGGATGAGACAAGGGCTGGTGCCCATAATCCGGGCTGTGGCTCAGACCGTCTGTGCCCTTGTGTCTGCCTAGAACATCTGTGCTGGTCCACTGGAGTGGATGGCAAGAGAAGACGCTGTTACCCTGGACTCCTCGAAAAGCAAGTGGGCACATACCTCCAGCTGGCCCCAGCAGCATGGAGCTATGAGGTGCACAAGGCCCGACCTAGGTCATTTAGGCCATCTGTTGCTGGTCCACTGAAAAGGAATCACAGATTTCCTGAAAATCTCCAAGAGCTGTTTATCAAGCTGAGATCTGGACATGATTCAGGTTTCAGCTGACTTTCTGTGTTTGGTCTGCAGCCACAACTGCTGGGCTGGGTTTTTGCAGCAGAGTCAAGGGCAGAGAAAAAAAGGGGACTGCTCATTGCTAAAGGCTGTGAAGGTCATTTTTCTCACTTTTTGGTGCCTTCTGTGTGTCAACGGGTACAACACAGCTTCATGGGAATTCCTAGTAACAAAAATAATGCAGCCACCCTAAACCCATGCCTGAGATCTGATGGGTTTTGTCCAGTGCATATTATATATAATCATCCTCCACATATAATTTAAATTCAATAGTTCATTTCATAAACACTTCTCACATTCTTAAGAATTTTCATTATTCCACTGAGCTGTGGGACTATAATTTAACTCACTATTCCAATTCAGATTTTTCTGCTATTATAGTTAACACTATAAGAAAAATCTGTCTGCATTGAGCTTTTCTTCTCACAGAGTATTTTCTTAACATAAGTGGCAAGGCATAGGGTTACCCCATTGAAAAAAAAAAAAAACCTGAACATTTTTATGGCTCTTGAACTCATATTTGCCACCTTGCTTTTATGAAAGGATTAATACGTTTCTCAATGCCACCAAAAATGTGTGACTTTACCTGTTTTGTTAGAGCCTTGCTTACAAAACTGGGAGTGAATTTTTAAACATTTTTTCCAAATTTAACAAGTATAAAGTGGCAATTTGCTATTGCACCATTAATGCTCCTGCACATTGAAAAAGCTTTGCTAATGACTTTATAACATAAGTACTTTGTATAAATCCTTTTCCTTGTGAATTATAACCAAGATCAGGAAATGTAGTAGACAGAGAGAGGCTGGATAAAGCAGCTGATGTTACATACCAGGGCTTCCCTGGTGACTCAGTGGTAAAGAATCTGCCTGCCAATGCAGGAGATATGGGTTCAGTCCCTTGGTCAGGAAGATCTCCCAGAGAAGGAAATGGCAACCTACTCTGGGATTCCTGCCTGGGAAATCCCATGGACAGAGAAGCCTGATGTGCTACAGTCCCTGGGATCACAAAAGAGTTGAACACTTAGCGACTTAAACAACAACAAAATGTACATTTGCACAGGCTGTATCCAAGCATTTTATTCCTACTTTTATCTCCAGCCCTTGGGATTGAATTGGTTTGTTTAGATAACTGCATCCCGGTAAGATGGATCTGTGCTTGGCACCACTTCCTCTGTTAAAGATGGTCACAGACATGAAGCCTGACTCTTCTGGGTTCCTCACACAAATCTAGATAACTTTGTAACTGTGTAAGTTACTCAGAAAATTACCCAATAATTCAGCTTAGAGACACCTCACCCACCGCCCCCCCCAGGATAGTTCTTGAGAGATGGGGAAACAGAGATTAAGGGTGACTCTCTCCAACCATCCGTCTGTTCAAAAGCAGTCACCGCTTGCTTCCATGAGCCACTCAGCACTGCATCACACCTTGTCAATGACCCGTTATATCTTTATGAGTTTGCACACAAATGGTCTCAGCGGGACCCAGCCCACTGCAGGAGGCAGGCAGGACCACTGACATCACCTCCAGTTCCAGATTCAGAAACCACTGAGCCCAAGGTCATACTACAAATCCGTGCCCTGAGACAGGAGCCAGACATGGGGACTCGGCTATTCCCATGCCATTTTCATTTCACTCCAACAGTGTTGCTCTTCGCAAATGTCAATAAGAGACCGCAGTACCTTTCAAAATTACCTGCAGAGTCTGTTTCTCGTAGGACATGAAAGTGCAGTGTTTTCTCTTGGGCTGTGCTTTCTACTTTTGGAGTGAAAGTTGAAAGTGTTAGTCGCTCAGTCATGTCTGAGTCTTTGCAACCCCACAGACTGTAGCCCTCCAGACTCCTCTGTCCATGGGCATTCTCCAGGCAAGAATACTGGAGTGGGTTGCCATTTGCTTCTCCAGGGGCTCTTCCCAACCCAGGGATTGAATCCAGGTCTCCTGTCTGAGCCACCAGGGGAGCCTCACTTTTGCTGCGAGGTTTCCATCAAACATAACTGATTCCTACCAGCCTAGGGAAGCTGGCTTGCGAGACTTATACAGTCCCCAGAGTTCTGATTTCTGGGAGAACTGCAGACACACAGCAGGGAGGGAGGCGGCGTGGGGTGGCTGGTTCTCTGGTCCCTGGGGCTATGCTTACCTGATGAGGATGATGACGGAAGGCGTCTGAGCCATGGCCCCGATCATGCTACAGACACACATCACACACAGGAAGGTAAGGAAGGCCTCTTGACACCCGGGACTGGGGCATTTTCCAGGAATCACGGTCGCGTTCTCAGGCGGGATGGTCATGAGGCATGCACAGCCAGTGAGATTCTGAAAGGGAAGCAGTCAGCCTTGTTAACTGGGGCTATCTCCCCTCTCCAGATCTAAAGCCATCTATCAGCTGGTCTGTCACAGCCTGATTATGCATTCTGGAGCATTTCAATAATTAGGCCTGAATCAACGAGTTGGCTTTTTTGAAGGAGGCTGCAAAACACATGCAAAATAAAGGAATATTTATGGGGAGGAGAGCTGATTTCCCTGTCTCCTGTGTATTTCATTTCTATGCCCCAGAATTCCTTGATAAGCCCACACCGTAGACAAATGTGTTGCCCCCCCCCCCCGATACGATTAGAGAGGAAATCGTGCTTCCACAATGTGATAAAACACTGCCAAATTAACAATGTAATCACTTGCCAATTTGTCCTCTCTTTTGTGCAGTTATAATTACACTGAAGTGTATTAAAAGAAGTAAATCAGGTAACTTGCATATGGTTGCTGGTTCACTGCCCACTATGGCACCTGGAACAAAGGATGTGCACTGTCATGCGTGAAGTTGCTGGGCTCATGGGGCCGTGAGAGGGGGCTGGCTAATGGGAGGCTTCTCGAAAGGCTGAGAAAGCAGAGGGTGCAGAGATGGCGGGGAGCTTAGAGCGGATCATGGGGAGCGAGCTGGAGACCAGCGAGATACATTTATTAATATATGATCAGAGAGGAGAAAGCCAAGCGGCTGCATTCCATTTGATCTTCGGGTGGATTCTTGCCCAGCTGCCCCGGCTCCCCAGCACGGTCCTGGCTCACGCTCCAGAGGAATTTCTGATGGCGAAGGGAGGAGCAAGGGTGCAGGGAGAGGCAGCGCCAGCCGGCAGCCAAGCCAATTAAGGCTCGATAATAATAGTGCAGAGGTCTTTAATGAATACAAAACGAAAACAATCATAAATGATTCATTGCTTTTCTTTCCAGGGCTGCTTGGCTCTCAGAGCACACGCCGAGGTAAATCCTCCTGAGGGTCAAACAAATCCTCTTTGGTTTTTATGTGCCCCCTCCGCAGCCCGTATCCCATCCGTGTACCTCTCCTCCTCCCTCTCCTTTTCTTTCCCCGCCGGACTTAGCAGATTGGGGTTTTTCTTATTCCATCAAGCGAGGTGGGATGTTTTCAGGGGTGTTCAGTGCCTGCTCCCTCCATCCTGCATGACTGTGCCCCACAAGAAGCTTTTACTCTGGGAAGTAGGGGGAGACACAGGGTGGGGCTGGACCCCTCTTCCTAAGCCACCTGCCCACAGCAGGTGCTTTTGTATAAATGGCCCCATTACAGCACCCAGGGGCATCTCCCGGTTGTTCTGTGAAAGGTGCTGAAGCTCAGCCCCTCTGTCTCTCTGCATACATCTCTGCCCAGAGAAATCACAGATCTTCTTCAAAACTGAATGCTGACATTTCATTTGGCTGCAAGGCCTCCCCAGTCGCCCCCATCTGAGCTGGCACTTCCCTCCATGGGGACACACTCCTCACCCTGTGGCAGAGACCCCTGCTACCCTTCTGGAGGAGACCTGAAGCTCCTGGGATAAGAACGTGTCATTTCTGTGATCTATCAAGCACTGTCTTATAGCACAGGGCTGAGACGCAGCAGAGGAAACTCAGCAGGTTTAGGACGCGAATGGGAACAGATCTTCCTCCACTTTTATCAAGAAACAGGGCTTCTCCCTGAAAGAGCCAATTAACTGAAAGCGCCAATTCACTGAAAGCGTCCCTGATGCTGGGAAAGATTGAGGGCAGGAGGAGGAGGAGGTGACAGAGGATGAGAAGGTTGGATGGCATCACCAACTCAATGGACATGAGTTTGAGCAAACTCCGGGAAATACAGAAGGACAGGGATGCTTTGCATGCTACAGTCCATGGGGTTGCAAAGAGTTGGACATGCTTTAGTGACTGAACAACAAACAAGGGCTTCTCCCCAACTTGAATTGAAAATGCCACTTGTCTCCCGTCTGAGGAGAGGAAACTGATCCTTCCTCTCCCCACACCCTGAACGCTGAAGCTAAACATTTCCGGCTGTTCATGGTCACTACTTCCATGCTCTTGACTCACTCCAGCTGGCTTAGGTTCCTACATGCAGCGATCAGATCAGCTAAGCTCGCCAGTGACCTCCACAGTTGACCCCTCCATCCACTTTTGTCTCTCTGGGGCCCCTTGAGTGTGTGCCTGCAACCCACTGCCTTTGTGGCTTCCACGGCTCACTCTCTGGCTTCCTTCTTCCCTTTTGCATTTTCCTTACTGGCACCTGCCCCATCTCCTACTTGAATATGCCAGAGCTCCTTGGGGCTCTGGCCCAGGCTCTCTTCCCTTCTTGCCCTGCACTTTTCCCTAGATTGTGTTACATCCATGTGCTTTCTGATGGAGCTTCCCAGGTGGTGCTAGTGATAAAGAACCTGTCTGCCACTGCAGAAGATATGAGAGACATGGGTTCGATCCCTGGGTCTGGAAGATCCCCTGGAGGAGGGCACAGCAACCCACTCCAGTATTCTTGCCTGGAAAATCCCGTGGACAGAGGAGCCTGGAGGGCGACAGTCCACGGGGTCACGTGGAGTTGGACATGACTGAGTGACTCAGCATGCATGCACATGCTTTCTGATGACTCTCGTAAATTTCATCTCTAACTCACACCCATCCCAGACCCATCCGGGATGCCCCTTCCTAAGCCTGTGAATGTGCTGAGACATCAACACCAGCTCCAGGATGAGCGCCCTGTACAGGATTCTGCACTGGCATCTTGGCAAGACTCTACTGTCCAGGGCGGGGATCCATCTCCTTAGGATTCCCTTCCCTGCATGGATGAGAGCTGGACCAGAGGAAACACAGGAGAGATTTGTAAGTGAGGCAGGGGCTGTTACTCTCAGATGGTCAGACATTGGGACAGACAAACGCAGAGGTGCCCAGAAGGAGCCGGCTGGCCCTACCATCCCTGTGCACCCACCTTCTTTTCTGACCACCCTGCTGACAACAGAGGCCCTGTGCCCGCCTCTACTGATGTGGATGCAGTCTTGCTGATGTCCCTGACTGCCCCTTCATCTCACTGAGCAGCCCGCTGAGCACAGCTTCTGGGGAATTTCCCATAGGCCTCAACCTGCACATCTGAGCTGATACTTCTGGGGGTGTGGTGACTTTTCTCCAGTCCTTCATCTCACTTCTTCTGGATCCCAATTCCCCAACTCCACCATGCTCACATAAGATCTATTTCCCATACAAAACCCTCTACTTCCAAAGGACTTGTGGGTGCTCTTTTCCTGACAAAACCCTGACAGATATATACAGTCCCAGCCCCCATTTCCTTTCCCTCCACATCTCTTACCTTAGAAATGACAAACTCTACAGAAACACGATGGTAAATTCTCAACCTCCCCCGTACTCCTATGTCAAACCCTCCTCGTGACCATGAGGCTAATAAGGACAGAGACCACTGTGGTTTTGATTCCTGACTTATCCTTAGCTCCAGAGGACAGTACTGAATGAATGAATCAATGAATGAATGAATTAACCCTCAAAGTTTGTTCATTTTACCATATCCTAAACGATCAGACCACCTGACCTGCCTCTTGAGAAACCTGTATGCAGGTCAGGAGGCAACAGTTAGAACTGGACATGGAACAACAGACTGGTTCCAAATATGAAAGGAGTACATCAAGGCTGTATATTGTCACCTTGCTTATTTAACTTGTATGCAGAGTCCATCATGAGAAACACTGGGCTGGATGAAGAACAAGCTGGAACAAGATTTCTAGGAGAAATATCAATAACCTCAGATATGCAGATGACACCACCCTTATGGCAGAAAGTGAAGAAGAACTAAAGAGCCTCTTGACGAAGGTGAAAGAGGAGAGTGAAAAAGTTGGCTTAAAGCTCAACATTCAGAAAACTAAGATCATGGCATCTGGTCCCATCACTTCATGGCAAATAGATGGCGAAACACTGGAAACAGTGGCTGACTTTATTTTTCTGGGCTCCAAAACTACTGCAGATGGTGACTGTAGCCATGAAATTAAAAGACGCTTACTCCTTGGAAGGAAAGTTATGACCAACCTAGACAGAATATTAAAAAGCAGAGATATTACTTTGTCAACAAAGGTCCATCTAGTCAAGGCTATGGTTTTTCCAGTGGTCATGTATGGATGTGAGAGTTGGACTATAAAGAAAGCTGAGCACCAAAGAATTGATGCTTTTGAACTGTGGTGTTGGAGAACACTCTTGAGAATCCCTTGGACTGCAAGGAGATGCAACCAGTCCATCCTAAAGGAGATCAGTCCTGGTGTTCATTGGAAGGACTGATGCTGAAGCTGAAACTCCAATACTTCGGCCACCTGATGCGAAGAGCTGACTCATTTACAAAGACCCTGATGCTGGGAAAGATTGAGGGCAGGAGGAGAAGGGGATGACAGAGGATGAGACAGCTGGATGGCATCACCGACTCAATTGACACGAGTTTGAGTAAACTCTGGGAGTTGGTGATGGACAGGGAGGCCTGGTGTGCTGCAGTTCATGGGGTCACAAAGAGTCGGACACGACTGAGCAACTGAACTGAACTGAAATGACTAAACAACAAAGACAAAATCTCTCTCAAACCCTGCCCTAGTTCAAACCACCCCCATCCCTCTCTCTTTGGTCCCTCCTGTAGCCTATGAGGAAAAAGAGATTTGGGGCTGCGGTCCTGAGAACCACGTGGACTCAGAGAGTGCTCAGGTATGAACTGGAAACAGGCCCAGCCATGAGGGGCTGGCTTAGAACTCAGACCTTGGGAACTGAGTTCTGACTCTCATAGCCTTTAGGACTGTGATATGATCAGTACCCTTTGAATGAACTGTGTGAGCTCTGTTTAGTTTAATGAGTACTTTGTAATTGAAACCTACACCCAGTCTTAGATTTCTGCTCTGTACCTAGGCTATGGCTGAACTATATTCCATCTACCATAAGAGGAAATTTCCTGGACCTCCTCTGCTCTGAGATGTGAAAATCCCCTTCTGAAGAGGGTCTTCCCTAGATCAGGCCTGTGATCATGGCCCTAC